TAGGAATAAAGGGGAATGGGGACGCTAGCTTTACCTTAGATTCCAAGAATGAGGTTGTAAGAATAAGGCAAAGGGATGAAGGGGTATCGAGTTCGAGTTCGAGACCGAACAATGTTATTTCGGTTCTATCGAGAGAGGAAGTTGACGAGTCACTCGAGAGCTCGCAGCACGACATATGCCCGTCCACACCGCCTAATCCTAATGCAAGGAGAAGAAAAGGCATTCCTCAAAGGGCACCTTTTAGGTCCTAATTATAATATTTCAAATTTAGTAGTTTCCATAAATTAATTCATTTAGTTAGCCTTGATTTATTATAAGTTCTTCATACAACTCATACTATGGGGTCTTGTCCATAACACACACTCACACACCAAAAAAGAAAGAAAAAAAAAAGGGGGGGCAATAATGCATAATTGTTGTATTGAAACTTTGCAAGGTGTACATGTTAATTAATTAAGAAGATTGAAAGGTTTTATAAAAGCAAGTGTTTTGTGGAGTCCGTTTTATAGTTTTCTAAGGGCCCAGCAGACCACATGGGCCGTTTACATAAAGGAGGACATCTTTTAATTAGTTTAATGCATGCAATGTGGGAAATCGAATTTCTATGATAGTTACCTGCTTTGTGTAGCTTTTCTGTTTAATCATCCAATTTGAATCTTATTTCTGTAGCGTAATTATAAAATTATATACATGGGACTGTGGATATTGATTAGGTTTGATTTCTTTTTATATATTTATAAAGGAGATGGAAATGTTAGCTAGGTTGTCCATGATTGTAATTGGGTGGAACCTAATAAGTAGGTAAATTAGTTGCTGGAAGATTGGGTTAATCCACATGTTAATTATTTGCATAACACATATAAATCAACCGAGTAGGCTAACCTATAGTCAAAATAATGTTTACCCAAATGTGTATATTTTCAGTAGAAAATTCATACCTTACTAAGCAATATATAGGGAAAATTTCAAAACTAGTCCCACAGGTATAGGGGGTGACAATTTTGGTCTCGGCGGAATGCACAAAATATAAATAGTCCCACAGCTTTTAAAAAATGATCAAAAGTAGGACTTTTTCACCGGATTTACTATTTTCGGCCCGGAACGCCACATGGCGCACACGTGGCTTATTTTTTACACGCTGGCGCACACGTGGCTTAGTTTTGAATTTTTTCCTATCTAGGGAAAAATTCAAAACTAGTCCCACAAGTATAGAGGAGTGACATTTTTGGTCTCGATGGAATGCAGAAAATTCAAAACTAGTCCCACAACTTGTAAAAAAATATGAACACGTCGGATGTCACGTGGCGTTTCGGGCCGGAAATAGTAAATCCGGTAAAAAAGTCCTACTTTTGATCATTTTTTAAAAGCTGTGGGACTATTCATATTTTCTGCATTCCGTCGGGACTAAAATTGTCACCCCCCTACACCTGTGGGACTAGTTTTAAAATTTTCCCGCAATATATACGATAATACTTGATGGAATAAGTATGCATTTTATTCAAAGCATGAAGGTTGATCCGCCTAATCTTTAAAGTGTGCTATATAAGAAATTATGATGAAACGAATATAATTTTTCTCTTAGGTTTAATTATAATTTGTACCCCTTATGAAATGTATGTTCTCTGCCCACACTTACTTGAATCCCTCCACCAGATGAAGCCTATTTCGGAGCAGAAGCTTAAATAATGGTCATATTTTACAACAATTAACTATACTCATTATATCGAATTAACGACAATCTGATAAAATTAAATAAATAACCAATTCAAATTTTCTCCATTATACGAATTAAATTTCGAACTTGATAGACAGGTTAGGTCACAGGTCCACTCTAATATTGTACCGTATAATCTATACATAGGGTAGCCACTAGCCATATTTAAGTTGAAATAATACTTGCTATCCACGTATTGTATTCGCTATTAGACACTTTCACTAGTTAGCTCGTGATAACTTCACTGCTGAAAAATTTGTGGGTGATTTGTCATTATTCAAGTATAACTTTGTTAGGTTCCACTTTATATTTTTATTGGTT